TGGGTTTGAGGGTGGAAGACGTCAGGGACACAGACAGGGAAGGAGCGACAAGTCCGATAGCAGTAATGACAAGATTGAGTTGGAGAGCGGGAGATGAGATACTGGGAATGAGGAATCAGGAAATTGCTGTAGCCTGAGCTCTGATAAGGAGACTGAAATAAGGAATGAATGAAGAGAACGTGGACCTATTGTATATTGATGCCATCTACCAACAGAACATCATTTCAGCATACTTTCAGTACCACAGTAGTATTGTAGAATATTCCTCTCAGTATTGTTCAGCTGAAACAGTCATTTGTGTGTTATCCAGTGCAGTTAAGCTTCTTTGTCTGTCTCTATCTGCTCAGCTCAATGAAGGGAAAAGGAAACAAAGACTCCAATTAATCAGGCAATTAGACTCCGGTTCTGTGTCCTCCAATCATCATCTGAGTCACGTAACACTATTATTATTCTCCGCTCCCGTCTTCCATTCGCCCTTCACTTGTTCTTTGGCTGTTTCCTCCTCACCTTTCTGCCTCTTTAGTGTCTGGTATGAAATCATGTCTCAGTGATATTTACTCTGATATCTTTGACTTGTTAAGAATGCAGAGAGCGTTGCGCCACATAATTCCCTTTTGCTGCTTATTTGCTGCCCATCACTCTTCTTTTCATCCCTCTCTCTTTATGTCTGTGCACCCGAGTATCCGTCTCCTTCAACCAGGAATCACCGTGTCATCCTTCAAAGGATGGAGCAGCGTTCTCACCTTCCCTTACACCACTGTATCACACTTGTACAAAGTCTTTGTCCATATGTCCATATCTCTTTGGGTCCTCGCTAACTCTAACTCTATTTCTATCTACTTTAACATATAAGTTGTACCTGAGTATAAGTCAAAAAAAACGACTTAGAGTCTGGAAAATACAGTAGTACCTTTGTATATTGTAGACCAACTTTTAGTTATTTCATTGCAAAACTAAAATCCAGTGGTTGTTGTCAAACTTATTATGCACACGGATAGAGTGTGTGTGTGTGTGTGTGTGTGTGTGTGTGCATATAAAATATGGCATTTCATCGATCATCATATGACAGATGGAGCGCCTGTCTCTGGACTCAGCCACCACTCTTGATGTGAAACCTCCTTCATTTAAACAGTTTTTATAGTGTAAGGTGACAGTAGAAATGATGATGCAGTAGTAACTTTTTCCTGCGCGACATCACTGCTCATATCACAGCCTTAGTAGTTATTCATATTTTGTCTATCATAAACAACAAAGCTGTTAAAATCCTGTCTGTCTGTACCTGAATTATGACGCTGCTACTGACTCGCAAAAACATCCATGAAACTGAAGAAACAAGAGCGAAAACATTCCATAATATTCACCCAACCACTATCCTTTTTTAATGTTTACATTATGTGGATTAAACCAGTGATTGCTGACTTTTTTCACTACTGAGCCGTGACCCAGACCAGCAGCAAGAGAGTGTGTGTCAGGGGACGTCAGTATAATGGTGGCCTTCAATAATTGCTTCTGTTCTTCATGTTCATATTTTTTCCTTTAAAAACTTCCAGGCCTTTAAAGCAGGGTGATTGTCCTGTGGCGAAGTAGTTCTGAAAGGTTCAAGACTTAGTTGAATGGCCAATTGCTACGTATTACAAAGACTGGGCTACGGGGGCATGGACACCTGTTGCAGAGAACCCATACTTTAAGTAGGACTCTTGGCATTAGCCTTTGAATGCAGCTTTCTGTTCGGTGACATTTCTGGAGCCTTTACTGAATCACCATGATTCTCTGCCCCCATCTAAAAATCTGCCACTGAGGCAACGTAAAATACTGACGAACAATAATTACAGACTAATGTAAATTTGAAAAATATTAACATAAATACTGTTTCAAACATTCTTTCTATGCACTTGCTACCAAATGATCCACACCCCGGTACTGGTCCCTGTCCTGGTGGTTGAGGAGTCCTGGTTTCAAGTACTGTATTTTCTGGACTATAAATTGCACCAGGAAAAAATGAATAATGAAGAAGAAAAAAAACATATATTAGTTGCTCCGGAGTATTAAGTTGCACCCGCAAGCTAGAGTGCCCTCTAGCGCCTGTCAGTGTGAAAATAACAAATGTGAAATTATATATTTATATGAGTTATATATTAGCTATATAAATATTAGTTGCATCTGAGTATAAGTCGCAAAAGAAGAAAAAAAGTGCGACTTGCCTATAGAAAGAGACACGTTCTTGCCTTCGACATG